GGGGGGGGGGCCTCATGATAACCTGACCTAGTGCTAGGGACAGAAACTTTAATCACTTGGTCAAAGGAGTGCCTGCCAGGTTTCTCCAAGGCAGTCACTAGTTTTCTCTGTCCATACTCTCTTCTTTGGATGAAAGTCACTGAGTTCAGGCCGTGCCCAGAGAGGAGGGGAGAGTGTGGGAATAAATCTTCACCTCCTGGAGAGGTGGAGGATATCTACACATATTATTTGCAAGTATTCTACAAGGAAGATTTTGTTCCTTCTCTCCCATTTATTATCGATTCAATCATTTATTTATAGCCGTATGGACTCATGCATATTTATTTTATACTCTGAGCTGTAATTCAATACCACATTATTTATTTCGTTGCTCAAATTATTCTAGCTTTGACCACTGGGAATTCTTTTAGGTTGGTCCCTGTGTCCCTATGAAAGTTCATAAACTTTTAGGGCTGGGGAAAAAAAACCCACTTCACTGATTATTTGATCCACCGCTCTCACATTGAACAGAGTTGGAAAACTGCAGCCCACATTGCACAGTATCTGAGGGCTTTTCAGGATCATCCTGGGAATCCTATGATTACTGAGTCCCAACCCAGTAAGAGGAAGAAAAATGGTGTGTGTGTGTGTGTGTGTGTGTGTGTGTATGATGACCTTGAAGACTGGGACCCAACTGGAGAAGCGAAAGTTAATGTTTCTTAGGCAAGTTTTGGTTAACTTACCCTTATGGTTCTATTAAATAGATAAATGTATATTTATAGACAAATCATGTTCCAAANGTGTGTGTATATGATGACCTTGAAGACTGGGACCCAACTGGAGAAGCGAAAGTTAATGTTTCTTAGGCAAGTTTTGGTTAACTTACCCTTATGGTTCTATTAAATAGATAAATGTATATTTATAGACAAATCATGTTCCAAAGTTAGCCATGGATGTTTATAATGACTTTAAACATTGAAGAAATCCAGCTGTTGAGGATCCTTTGTTACATTGCTTTGTTTTGCTCATGTTTGCATTTGCAAGTTGGTTCCATAAACACCACATTTCCTCCTTCCGAACTGGGATCTGGCTCAGCCCTGCTTTCTGAGACTCTGTCACCTCTCTTCCTCGCCTAAACCCTTCTTGGAGTGGGATATGTACCCCATTAGTTCAGGTAAACACAAGATATATGGCCCAGTGAGTAATCCAGCACCACACAGCTAAGTGATTTCCTGTATTTCAAGTATTTTTTGACAAAGTTACTAAAAGTAATAATAGTTAAGAAAAATTTTGTGTTTAAGCTCCACCATAGCCCAGAAGAAACTGACAAGGTCAGAAGTGAGAGTGAGATTTCTATGCACGTTTCTGGGGGGAGTTGGGAAACTTGACCTGAAAGCAGTAATTCTAATCAATATGAAGTACTATTTCATAGTTCTGCAAATGTACTATTACCTAGGTGATTTTAATAAATCTTGTATGGAGGGGAGCCGGGAACCACTCAGGACTAACACGAATGTGGAATTATAAAATATTAGCAACCTACACAGTACTGCCCAGGAGAATCCATAAACCATCCTTAGATGTAAAAGTCCAGTGATGTGCCTTAGGAGTTGGAACTGGGGCGGCAGGGGTCAATGTTTATCAATTTCCCTTGTAGCTTTAGCATCTGGTTGCTATTTTTATGACACACTATGTACAAATCATTTTAAGTAACCAGATATTTTGAAGCTGCTTCTGTTCACACCTTAAGATTATTCATATTTTAAAATAAAGTATTAGTATTATGCATCTTTTGGAAGGGCTTGGGTTGGTCNCTTAAGATTATCCATATTTTAAAATAAAGTATTAGTATTATGCATCTTTTGGAAGGGCTTGGGTTGGTCTGATGGAAATTGTATAGGGACTAAAGCATCTCCAA